TTTGTCCCATTAGGAGAAAAACAGAACTCATGAGTTCAAGATCGATCATAACAGTGCTAGCCTAAAAAAAATATATCAGCTAATTCTGGTTGGTTGAGTTCTACCTAATCCGATTATTTTTGTTTATTTGGAATGACAAGGGTTATACCACACCACAAATATCATTAAGGCCAAATAAAGTAAGAAGAGATGAAAGATATCTAAATTTATTGTTTATTGTATAAAAAGAAGGTACAGGTGCTCCCATTTTAAGGGAAGAAAGCACTCTAGTGAATTGAGATAGCCATAAATAATTCTAAATGATGAACCAAAATTTAAGAGTCTATAAATGTCAAAATTCAGCAAATAAGCTGCAATTCACTTCTAGTTCGAAGCAAAAAGTATGTATATGCAACCGTGGATTAGATACAAAGATGGAAAAGGGAATAACTCAATAAACTACGTTTTTATATCGGTATCCTTCATTTCTGGATTTTCAGCAACTGTTGTTTTGTTTTCAGAACCATGATCCTCAGTAAATACTTCCTTTGCAGATTCAGTCCTTTTCTCAGCCATATAGTGTTCGTGCATTTCAGAGAGCTTTTTGATTTCCTCATAATCACTTTCCACCTCCCCGAACAAGTCAAAGTGTTTGGCCAACTGACGCAACTCAGCTATTTCAGCTTCGGCTCTCAAGGCACCAGGCTTTCCTGCAATAATCCGACGTTCAGCCAGCATACTACGAGCCAAGTTGAGCCGACTAGGTGCTGAGTATTCATCCTCCTGATAGATATCTTCGGCCAAGTTCCAGAGAAGTATGCCGACTAGACGGCGCTGCCCGGGTGTCAGGTAGAATATGACTCCACGATCTGGCTTTTTAGAATGGGAACTATCTAATATACTTGACAGCATGGAGCTGATATTACCACTATGGCTAGAGTCCGTGGAATCAGGTAAAGCTGGTTCTGGGCATGCCTGACTAGTGGCATCTTCTTCAGTGGATAGAGGTGCAGATAAGAAGGCCCGAGTAATAAGGCGGCGAGAATCGAGATGCCCGACGGCGTCCCATTGTATGCCGGGGCCCAAGCTTGACCACACAGATGACTGGTGGCGGTATTTTGCCATATCAACATTGGTGGCGGGAGGGACCAAAGTAGAAGGATTCGAATCGTTAGTCCGGCCAAGCATGGCAACTGCCATGTTACGGCCGGCCAAGGCGCCAGATTCCTCTGCGAAGTTGTAGTGTTCCACGCGGCGACGCATGCCCAATGTTGGGTCCCAGAATGAGGCCGCATCACCGGCTGCGTATACACCAGCACGAGCCTCCATATCAGCATTAACTAAAAAGCCGCCATGTGATGGGTCTAGTTCAAGACCAGCGCTTTCAGCAAGATCAACCCGGGGTTCGACGCCAATCTAACGAATGATGTAAAAAAGGTTAATCTAAAACCAAAGGGGTAATTAAAATTATTCTTTGCTTGGTCCATACTCTGGTGGGAATGCACGCATAATAAATCGCGATTCTTGCTTTCAGGTGTGGAAACCCTGTACTGGCCCAAAATAAAATGCAAGCTAATAAGATGAATTAGCTACTAATATTAGTTAATTCAGATTATGTTACTGGTATTCTAGGTATTCCTTTCAATCTTAAGCTAAATGTATGAGTAGGGCATCCAAAGTCACTGTAAAGCAAAGTAATAATAATAGTAACATAGCTAAGTTATATAGCTTACTGCACAGACTACATGATCCACTTCCATTGCTTCGATTGATTCCGTGCCACCAAGAGGAGTTCTACGTATTCGAAGTCGAATCTTTCTCACATCAGGAGTTTGATTTTGCGATTCGGTGGAAGTGGAGCTGATTTCGTCAGACTTAGGCGCTATCAACGCTTTATTTGTGGAAGTGGCGAGCAGTTCTTTGATGGCCTTTTTCAGGCGGTCAGAGAGCCGATCTCTTCCTGTCCATAGTGAAGCATCAGTGTCATTCGAAGGATTGCTTACCTCAGGATGAACCAAATTATCAAGTGGCTGACAAGCAAACTGACATGCTGTGACGACGTCAGCCGAATTGATTACGCGGATACCTTGGGCTGCCTCATGGCGTGCAGTAGCCATGGATAGGCAAGGTGGTAGCACGTGACCCATTGGGGCTGACTCACGAAAAATATGGACCACTGATAGCTGGTTTTTGGATGGAGCGGAATCTGAGAGTCCAGCAAAGTTTGAAAGACTACAGGCAAGCTCACACCCAAGGAAGCCACCACCTATTATAGCGATACTGCCACCAGTCTGCTTGAGTCGCTCAGTCAAAGCCTGAAGACGACTAGAATGAGGACAAAGGCCAAAAAAAGTATACGATGCAAATAATGTTTCTTAAAGTGATTTAGATAAGCATATAATAAGTCACGAAAGTATATAAACATGAATAATAAACTATATAATTAAAAAATGAAAGGACAATGACATGATGACTCTCAATAATATTAGAGATATGAAGAGCAATATGGTGTCGCCTTCTGTTTGGCCTTATAGTATTGGTTCTACCTTGTTTTTGCAACTTGGTCTAATCTCCTGTCCATCAGGTTTTTTTAAAATGGATGTCCACAGCTTCCCTGATCTTCCATTGCCTGGTGTTCTCCTCATATGAGACCAGTCTTTCCGATGCACTGAAGTCAATTGTGTGGCCGGTAAGAGCGATGTGTTAAGCTATCTCTGATCTTTCCGCATGCATTTTTCTGCATACTCGTTAATGTTCTTTTATCCTTGTGCTGATTGTCCTTGCCGTCTCTCCAATGTATTTTTGTTTGTAGTCCTTGCTGTTTATGCCGTAAACTCAAGAGCACTCCATTATATTGACTTCGCCATGCTTTGTAGGCCATATAAAAGAGGGTTGAGAGAAAGGGATGCAGCACTAGAAGTTAGAACGAAAATTAGGT